ACACACACACACACACACACACACACACACACACACACACACACACCTGTATTTGCATCAAGCAAAGGACATTGTATTGACTTCCATTCATTTTTGTAACTGTATTTATGCCTAACCCAGACATTTTCCCTAACACTAACCAAACCAAAACTTAATTCACAACATACCTCTAAACCTAACTAGTAAAGCACAGCAGAGCTGCAAACAAAGTGAGGACATTGCAGAGGTCCTCACTTTACATCAAAGACCTCACTTTGACAATGGCACAAATGGTCCACACTCTGTAGTAAAAAGAAGTACCCCCCCCACCCCACACACACACACACACACCTACTTTATCTCTCTATCCTTGTGGGGGGTTTCCATTGACTTCCATTCATTTTTTGGAAATTTTATATCCTAACCCTGACCATTTACCCTAAAGTTAACCTCACAGGTTTCTACCTGACCCTAAAGCTAACCTAAACTCAATTCACCTTGGTCCTAACCCAACCCCCAACCCAAAATCAGCCTCTGAAGTTGTGGGGACCGGGCATTGGTTCCCACAAGGAGCATCCGGTACCCAAGAGGCGGCATTTTCCTGAAAAATTGTCCCCACCAAGTGGTAAAAACAAGGGCACACACACACACACACACAGACACACATTAAAGTGTTTAAACACTAATATTTTTATCACAGACCTTGTAGGTGATGAAACAGACCAATATAAAGAAAGAAAGACCACAGTGAGTGACTTAAGGGAAGTGACCCGTTCTGTGCAGGAGAATTTTAAATAGCCACTGATTTTCATCATTAATTATTTACTGAACAGTTGTTTGTGGTAAACTGTGTGTGTGTGTGTTTGTTTCTTGACCCGATTAACACCTTTGAGTCAGACAGAGCGATTTCTTGTCAGCATCGTGCTCAAAAAGAAAAGAAGAAGAATAAAGTTCAGCAACACAAAAACCTCATTTCTTTTTACAAAACAGTCAAAAGAAATCATGTTAATATCTGGCAACCAAATCTGTTAATGTTTAAAGATCTGCGTGGAGTCGTGTATAAATCCACTGCTCCTGTCTGACTGACGGAGGGTCAGAGGTCAACGCTGTGGTCCACTGCAGATGGTGGACTGCACACAGTCACACACACATTCCTCCTCCAGCTGTCTGCTCATCTGTCAACCACAAGAAGTACACACCTACTAAGTACACACATTTTTTTAAAATCTGGAGAGCAAACAGGAAAGTTTCATGTAGGAGTGATTAAACTTATGACGAGTGGAAAAGACTTAACTTCTCTAAATCAACTCTAACATTATGATGGTCAAACTGAAGATTTTGTTCTGAATAAAACAATTACTGAGACTTCAGGAGATGTTGACCTTGTAGACTATTTAAAATAGTTAAACAAAAACCTAGTTAGTAACAGTGAGCTGTTAATATTTTCTTATATTTTGTTTGTTTCAGTTTTGTGTATGGGAAGACACTTTTATCATCAGAAACTGAGTTTGAATAGACTAAATCCAAAGTATAATTTGAAATTGGATTCAATTGAATTTAATGGTTTTTAATCTGAATTTAAAGTTTTGGATCTGGATTATTTAGCTTTGTAACTGTATTTTATTGTATTGAAAATTCATTTTGACCACTTTTCAATTTCAGTTCTAAAATTCAGTTTTTTGAGTCACACATCCAGGCGGCCTGCCAGGGTATTAACACACTGGGGGAAATCCTGATTATAATTATGTCATAAAGTAGCCATGATAAAAGCAACACAGGAAATTTACAGAAAAGTCATTAAAATCTACAGGAAATGTGGACTTCTACAGTGTAAAATGTGTAGTAACTGTGTAATACCCCCTCGGTCCCTGTCTCTTTGGACAGTATGGAGGGTGGAGAGCTGTTCAGCAGGATCCAGGCCAGAGGAGACCAGGCCTTCACTGAAAAAGGTGAGGATGGACCGTGGCATAAACACACCACTTGACAAGAACCACATATCTCAGAATCAGACAGGAAAGCACAGAGTAAACAGGTTTGTTTCTTTCAGCTAGAGGGGCTTTAGGAAAAGCACAGGAAGCAGCTGTTTACAGCAGGGAAAAGCTCGGCTCTTTGAAGAAGCTCCTAAATTCAGCTGAGCAGCTCATAAGCCTCATTTATGAGCTGTAATTATTAAACCAGCAGTGTCAAAAACCTTCTTTACAGGGATGAGTTTCTTTCTTTTATTTATGTCTCCTGTTATAAAATATAAGACTTGCTTCTGGTTTGAGAGAATCTGCTTATTTGTTTCCTCCCAGAGGCGTTTGAGATCATGAGGGACATTGGCACAGCCATCCAGTTTCTCCACAACATTAACATCGCTCACAGAGACATCAAGGTACACAGAGATCCAGACCGGGGAACATTTCCTGACTTTTGTCATTTTTCAGTGACATTTGGACTAGAGTCCTTTCATCCCTCCACTTTTCTTTTCCTGTCAGCCAGAGAACTTGCTGTACACCAATAAAGGTAAAAATGGCGTCCTGAAACTGACGGACTTTGGTTTTGCTAAGGAGACAACGCTACACAACTCTCTGCAGACCCCCTGTTACACACCTTACTATGTGGGTAAGCTGCTTCGCTCTGTAGTCCTGCTGCCTTTAATCTGAGGGGAGTAAAAAGCATCTGTCTTTAGCTTTAAAGGGATATCCTGGTTGTTTGGAAGTTGGGTCACTTTAAAATGATTAAAATGTCCCTTTAAAGGGATCCCTGATTAGTTATAACATTAGACTTTATTTGATAAACATTTATTTTAACTGTAAAATAAAGACTGTAAAAATACTGTAGGATGTTTAGTTTTTATAATTTTTAAAAATATATTTTAACACGGACGGAGCCATTTTATTTAGATGCAAAGCATTCTGGGTAAA